CCTGCTGTTCATTTAAAGTGGCGTTTAGTTAATTTTAGTTCTGATTACATTTTTTTTTCTATCTTTCAGTCCGGTTTCTCCTGAAAAGCTTGTCAATAATGGTGTATTAGTGGTAATTTTTAATTGCTTCTATTTCTCTTCTACTTTATGTTCATTTCCACACTGGTAGTGGGACCAGTGAATCTAGGAGGTGCTCCAACACCTCACTGCAGGCAGAGCTGAAGGAGAGGTAGCTGGAGAATTGGATGCTGTGTTTGCCCTGGCCGCCGTCACGCTGTGGCCCTGGGATGCCCACAAAAGTGTCCTCCATCACCAGCCAAGAGCGAGCCTCTTGGCTGAGAGGGAAGCGCCGCTCCATTGACTTACTGCGTCTGCATCGTCCCCTACAGGGACTTCTCTTGGCAACCCCATCATAGCCACCACGTTTTCCCCACCTCTGTACAATGATATAGAAGTAGGTTTCTTGAATGCTCCTAACTGACTGTTTAGAGGAGGTAGCAGTAGATTGTGAAACTTCACCAAAGTTAGCTGGCTGGAAGGAGAGCCTTGTGATTTGGCTGACCCACCATCCCACCCTCGTGAGGCCTCTGCAGGCTCCTGCTCCTTCCCTGGTTATTTACCCTCCCTTCTCAGCCCTAGAAAACCTTAGCACAGACCACAGGACTGCTGCCATTTTTCTTTCAGCCAAAACCCAGGTGCATCTTCAGAGTGCCTATGGCGTTCTCTTATCAGCCTAAGTAAACAAAAGGTGAACAGTTTTCTGGATCCCAGGAAGCCCTGGTGGCAAGGCATAGGTAGTAAGGAAGTGACTCAGATGTGTCATGTTTTGTATGCTTAATTCTTTAATCGTTTATCCCTGCTACAGTCTCGTGAAATTTCCTGCTTGGAAGTCCAGGTGGACAATAGATGGATGAAGAGAGAAACTTCAGGTTAGACTTCAAACTAGAAAAAATAAACTTTTTTATTTTTAAAGAGTACCTTTTTAAAAGAGCTTAACTCTTTCAATTTTTGATTTTTTTTAATGTCAAAAAAAAGTGCTATGAGGAAGGAAACTGACTGGATTTTGAACCCTGTGAAGTAGAAGCAACTTGGATATTTCAGAGCTTCTCACTTTTGCCATTTTCTCATCCTGTAATTTCCCTCTTTTGTTCTTTTAGTCAGAGTAAAGGAATTGTATGGTTAGGAATACGTGTGGGACCACAGATCCAGTGGTTATAGAACCAGCAATTATACAACGTCTGTCTGTGCTGACTAACTATGAAAACTGGACTTTGAAACTAGAGTGTGAAACTTAGTGCTGTAAAATATAATTAAATGCTCTTTTCTATATCAATAATTTACTTTCTGCTCAATTTTCCTTCATTCCTGAGTTTCTGTAAAGGCTTCTTCTGACTGTACTTAGTTTTTTTTTTTTTTTTTTTTAGAAAAAGACTTCATATTTGCGGTGAAAGGATCCTATGAAGAGAGGCAGAAACTTTCACTGCGCTCTCCCTTCGAGCCCGCAGAGCCCATTACATTCCATTGTATGAAGTACAGTCGATCAGAACTACGCGTTGCACTACCAGAGAAGAAGTCACATTTCTGCTTGGTATGTGATAATTAGTTATAATCATACGCACAATAAACTGATGATTTCCCATACTTATAACAAACTCCAGTGAGGCATTTGGAAAGAGTTTGCATTTTTATCTAAAAATCATCTTGCATGATCTTCTGCCCTGGAAGAGCACAATACCTGCTAAAACACCTAAATATTGGATGCCAGCTTGGAAATGCTGGATATTGACCCTATCTGAAAAAAATAGGTTGGTGATAGTGCTTTTTTGTGGTGTGTATATTGAATATTTTTCTGTGTTATAATCTATTTTTCAGTGTACGTCAGGTGAAGAGAAAAGAGATTGCAATACATCCCTTACTATTCCTCTGAATTCACTTCCCTTCAAGGAGAAAGTAGCAGTAGCCAAGGTGATTGATGCCAACTTTTTAGAATAAATCTGAAGATATGACCCAAAGACTGATGTGCTTGAGCTAAATGGATGTGTGTGACATAGAGATTTAGATATATAACTGCTAGTCTCTCTCGCCTGTACTCCACTGGGAACTAGAAAACTAGGCCAAAATAATAACAAGCTATGCTGGGGGTGTGAAGGAATGTAGGAAGGGTATAATGCTTTTAAGATACTCTAGCTATCTCATGACTGTCTTATGAAACAGACTATATTAAATAATGCTATTTAACTAAAACTCGGACATAATATAGTAGACCATCCTCAGAATTTATGGCTTTTTAATGATGTATGTGAGATGTTGGCAGTATATGGTCCTCAGGCCTGGCTGTTTCCTCCTACCTTTGTGCTGCAGTATGCTACCTCTCGTAAGTTTTTCGTAGGACAGGAATTCCCTCTCTGTATTGCTACAGAGGCCTCGTGTTACTCAACCACAATCTCAGCAGGTCCTGACCAAGGTGGACGAATTTACACGTCTTTTGAAATTACTTCCCATTAAAAATACATTCATAGTGTGGCTGGAAGTGATTCTGCTTTTAATGAGCTGGTACATAGATGCGATCCTAAACAGAAAGTGTTATAGACCCGTAAATTTTCATCTGAACTGAGCAGAAATAAAAATCAAACCCTAAAACATCCCAAACCAAATATTTACCAAAATGGGTGTGTTCAACATATTTGTAGTATTGTTCAACACAATTCCACGTATACTTCCGTGGCTTTGAAGGATGTCCTGAACCCCTGGATATGGCCCCACAGTGATATTTTAGGCTCACCTGCAACTACTAAGAATTTCCTGACCTTATCTTAAGATGAATGTCTCTTCTGGAGCCTGTTTTAGTGGTGTGGTCTGTTTGCGAAGGAGTAAACTCCCTCTGCATCCACTGGTACTTACGCTGCTCCAAATCACAGCCTGACGTTTGAAAGAGGGATTTTTGTGATTGCCTGGAGGTCTAACGCCGTTCAAAGTGTAAGCAAACAATGAGGCAAGATGGGGGCAGCTTGGTGGAGTTGGCACAGGTGGTCTCTGCTAGATACAGCTCTGTATATCTAAAATAGCTGAAACTTCAGGATAAAATATTTGAGTGAAAATAAGGTGCACTTGAAGAAGTTTTAAAAATTACATGGGTTTTCTGATTGTTATAGCTTTCTGGCTACAGTAATGCTCTCAGAAAAGGTGAAGGGCTTCAATGCTGACTGAAAGGAAAGGATAAAACATAAAATCATCTCCAGTACTTACATTGTGTTTTTCAGGATGAAACAATCAATTTACAAGTGAAGTCAAATGACTGGTAAGAAAACCTCTCTTTGGGTTTTATGGTTGTGAATAAACAGGCTGGCCAGCTTTATTGTCGTCTTACCTCTTTCTATATCTAAAGGAGGTAGTATTTAGTCACGGGTTTTATCTACCCAGGGGAGTGTTAGTTCTCCGTGAATAGAATCTAGATGTTCTTAACTGTGCTGGTTGAAACTTCCTGTTATCTGTGTTATGCAACAGTTTAGGTTTGATGAGGAGAATAATCTTTTCTGGCTGCAAAATCCCTGGAGCTACAAGCTTAGAAAAATATGCATTTATGCTGAACTTTCAAAAAATCCAGCACACTTTTATGCATACAACTTGGAGGCACTTAGGCAACAAATTGTAAATATTCCACTGTTAATAGTATATGTATAAAGATGGCAGTATTTGTTAGACGGTTCTTGAAAATCAGTGTAGAAATAAACAGTACTTCCACTTTTTCTGTAAGATTTTAGTTTTTTTTAATCACTGAGACTCTTCTCCAACTTTTCTATGCCCTCTGCTGATGGCCTTTGTCCAGCTGTAAGGCTGGCTTTTCTTAGCCTAGTTATAGAGTTTAAGACTTATAAGTACAGGTCCAGATGTTGTAATGGAGCACATAAATATGCTTTACTTACTCTTTCACCCTGGACTATGTTTAAGGACAAAAAAATTAGATGTTCGCTTGACGTTTGATCTATGTACGGAGGAAAAAAAATTCCTACAGAAACGGAAGAAGTTTGTGGCTTCTGCTCTGAAAAAAGCCCTTCATTTAGAGCAAGACCTACAGGACCATGAGGTATGTGGAGCACCGTTCGGCTTGGATTGTGCCGCGTAAATGGAACGTGTTATGTTTGTAGCCACTAGCATATTGTTCCTTAATCAGCACTGATGTATTTAGTGTCCCACGTTAAGCATCCACAATGTTTAGATGAGATAATGGGAGACCATGAGTAGTGTCAAAACTGCTTGCTATACCCATTTACTGAGAAAATAACCATAAGGCAGCACGTTTTTTTCTCTGCCTTATTTCTTTTTCATCTGTGAATTACAGTCCTACTCTCTTACCTGAGCGTTCAGTCACCAAGGCCCCAAATAAGGTATTTTATATTGTCAGATTTGGGGGCGGAACCTAGAACTTTGTGCCATCACACAGGAATACAGCTGAGATGATGAGCACCAAGAGAAAGTCTGCAGTAAGAAACTTTCTTATCAGTGTTATGTATCACAAAGACATTCACATTTTTCTGTCATCTGTCTGACTTGGAGCAATAGTCTTCAGAAATCAAACATCATTCTGGATAACTGTAATATATCAATTTCCGTCTGAAATTTAAGGTAAGCATAGATGTCAGAACATCAGAACCACAGCTCCTTCAAAAACAAATCTGAGTCTGCAGATTCTAAACTGCAGTAAAAGAAGTATTCTAGTCTTTCAAAATGTCATTATGACTTTTATGTTTATACCTTAGAATCACCTTCGTTTTTTATGATGCTGATAAGAGAAAAAAATACAGTGTTCCTTCTAAGGAGACTTTCCCGAGGGTCCAGAGATGAAAACAAGAGGGGGCAGGAGGCATAAGATAGCTCAGAATTTAGCACTGTTTAAATGCAATTCAGATTTTTTAGCACTGCAATTGCAATTTAGGTTTCCATGCAATTGCAATTTAGGTTTCCAAGCAATTATGCTTGGTGGTTCATCACTGCAATTAAGTACTCTAGGTACTTTATGGCATATATAATCTGGTCATTGCGCTTGACTTATAAGACCGAATGAGATCTTCTGGTTCTCAAAATACAGCTGTCATGAGATGATATTCCAGATAAGGAAAATGTGGTCTGATACTGAAGTGCCTTGAAACAAGAAGTTATGAGTTGTTTCAATAAGCCAGCATACAACAATTTAGAAGGTTGGCATCTTTTGATCAAAAGAGTCAAAACTAGCAAATTACCTTTTTAACTTTATTTTCTGTGCAAAATACTAGCATTCCATTTTTTCCTCCCCTACTCTGGGAAATACGGAAACATCAGACTGTCTTGTAGCACAGAAATTCTGTAGTTTACTCAGCTCTATGTGCTGATGTAAGTTAAGTTGTTGCTTACCAACTGCTTGTGTTGATTTTAAACAGGTGCCAGTCGTAGCAGTCATGACAACAGGGGGTGGCACCCGGGCACTGACATCTTTGTTAGGCAACCTGTTGGGTCTTCAGAAGTTGGATCTCTTAGATGCTATTTCATACATCACTGGTTCATCTGGCTCAACGTGGTAAGGAGACCCTGAACAAAGCTGTCATTTGTCACCTCTGTAGTTTGCTCTAAGAATAGATTTATTCTCTTCATTTTGGTAAAAGAAAGTGTACTTTTTTAGTCTCAGGCTGCTTTGTTGTTGCATTGGGATAGCTTCTGAAATTGGGATCACACTATAAAATGTTTCACTTGTTTTTATCATGTTGAAGTTTTCAATTTCTATTCCAAAATTGACTCTCTCCTAATTTTCACCTGCTAATATCTGATAGTTAACTCACAGGGTTTAGCATGTTGATTTAGTTAAATGCAGTAACTTATTCACTCATACATGATAGATTTTCTAGAATCTCTAGGATTCTTTATACAGCCACAGCGAGAGGTTCAAATAAAGACAAACAAGTTATTTTAATTTCAAGTTCTAGGAATTGTTAAAGCCCAGCATGAAAAGAAAGTTGAGGTCTCTCCCTGGCCACGTGATCAGCAGGAGAGGGGAATAGTGAAATGATACATCTGCTCCCCCAAAGCCTAAGCCAGCATATGGCCTGGGTATTGCTAATGGGGAACAGCTTATTTCCTGGTCCCTTACTTCATCTCTAGAATCATTCCCGGAAGCTGATGTGAGATTTATAGTGGCAAATAGTAGCTTTGTGTGGAAAACCTGATGGTACCTACATTGCATGGAGGGGCTTTGTACAAACTGTCAAGTTTCGCTACGGATTTGGAGGTCCTTCAAGTCCAAAAAATCTTTTCTTCTCCTTGATAAACTGAGCCCAAAAGGTGTTTTCGATGGATCTCAACTAGTCCACTTGACGTAATCCTTAAATCCAAGTCTAAGAAGTGAATGTATATGTGAGGATATGATAATATATTTCCTTTCTTTTTCCTAGGACCTTGTCGCATTTGTATCAGAGCACTGACTGGTCACACAAGGATCTGTCCAGGCTGACTAATGAAATCCGGAGGCACATGACCAAGTGCAAGCTGAGCTGCTTTTCCTTGGAAAGCTTTAAGAACTATGACAAGGAGTTAAAGCTGCGGAAGCAAGAGGGATACCAGATCTCTAGCGTTGATTTGTGGGGGCTTTTACTGGAAAAAGCATTAAATGATGGGGTACTGTGCATGTATCTTCCTTATCTGCTACTGAACACCATTGTATGGAAAATGAAGCTCTAGGGACAGATGTTGACCTGACAGTGTGCCAGCATTATCCAGGCAGATGATTTCTGCTGACTAACAGGGGATTTGACCTTATGTATCTCTCAGCATATAATCACCAGCTCCAAAGGATATTCAGTAGAGCAGAGAACCTCTATCTCCTTCTACCTGTATGAGTATTTGAGCTCCTAACAGCAGAGCTCTGCTCTTGCTTTCTTCTTCTCTTTTTGCCCTCTTAAGAAATTAAGTAATCTGTACAAAATGGGTGCACTTACTGGGAGGAAAGAGAGCCCCTTGTACTGCAAAATATCCTGCAGCTCATCAGTAACTTAATGAGCTTAGATGGATGTGTAAATGTTCAGATCCTTCTTTTGTTTAAAAAAAAGTGCCAACACAAAATGAGTGAAGAGAATCAGAAAATATAACTGGAAACAAATATTTGGTTTTCTTTAATTTTGCAAGCCCAGGTACAATGAATGGGAGGTCCTTAGTTACACTCCTCCTTTCTTTTTGGTCAATTCACAGAAAAATGACCATAAACTCTCAGATGAGCGACAGGCATTGGATCGGGGTCAGAATCCCCTACCTGTCTACATGATCCTCAATATCAAAGAAGACTACAGCCTTTCAGAGTTTAAAGGTGATCACAGAACTGAGCTGTGTTTGGGCTCAGTTGATGTATGAATGACTTGCATTATCAGATAACAAAGGCCCTGCATCCCCTTGCACTTCTGAACTCCAGCATCCGTAGAGTTCCTCTTTCTCTTCCTCTTTCAATTGCTTCTGTGCCTAGACTCTGTGAGGAACCCAGCTTCTATGGGATAGCAGAAATTTGGGGAAGGCTCTTTAGGACACCCAAGACTCTCCCAGGTCAGAGCCTTAGTTCAATATGTAGGGTAATTTAAGTCAACTCTTTTTGCTATGAACTTCATTTCTGTCTTATCTGGGGAGGCTCATTGGAAAGTTCTGTATGAAAAACTTTAGCATTACTTGAGTGAGTGACTGAAACTAGAGGAATGATAACTTATTACCCTGATGAAAACCGGTCTGTGATCACCCTGTTGATAGAGCTTGTCCTGCCATTGCTTTCTTGTCATTTCAGAGCTCTGCCTGAAAGGACGTAGGGACAGGATTGAGATTTAAGAGTTGATTTTGTGTCTCTGTTTGCAGAATGGGTGGAGTTCACCCCTTATGAGGTGGGATTCTTAAAATATGGAGCCTTCATTCATGCAGAGGATTTTGGCAGTGACTTCTTCATGGGTCGCCTGATGAAAAAGCTCCCCGAATCAAGGATCTGCTTCATGCAAGGTGATATGCTCACTTGGGAAAATTTGTATTGTCTAAAAATGTATTTGCTATAATACATTTTCTGCACACTGCAACCAGTGCCCTGCAGCATGCAGGACTGAAATATAATGTACAACATGTTGTTCCCAACTCTAGCTGAATTCCTCAGACAGCAACTGGAGATAGGCTAACAGGGTAGAAAAATGCTCAGAGAAAGTTTCAAATAATGCTATTCACTTCCGTGTTTCAGGTGACTCTCAAGTCTGAAGTTTCAGGGCTGTTTAAAAGCATTAGTTTTTCTTTTAACAGCTTGGAAACAGGGTTTCACATGGGAAATATTCGTATATTGAAACTGGAATCCTAAAGCCAAATTTGTCTATGAATAAGGCTATCCTAAAACCAAAAACAATGTTATTGCTGAGCTTATTATAAAATATAGCAATTTTGAGTAGTTTCCCAATTGTTACTAATGTTTTTGTAAGTTTAATAGTGTTCTAAATCCTTTGCAATTTTGCCAGTGTGATTAAATCAGTGAGTTTTGCCATCCTTATCTCAGTAAAGTGGGTGGCTCCCAATAGTGAATGAAAGACAGCTTTGAGGTTTTTATGCAATTCTTCTTGATTTAATTTTACGTAATGGTAGGATTCTCTACCACACCCCTTTATATCCTGGTTCTCTGGAGTTAAGCTGTCTGTAGAAGAGTCCTTAAACTCTGAACAGTAAATGTATTACATGAAAACAAGCAAGGTACACCACTGAACACCAAGGATATCAGCAAGAGCCATGTCCAGTAAGAAAATGTTTTTGCTTTAACTGAAAAACCTATATAATCGGCAAGGTGGTGTGGTATTCCTTATTTGGTATGCAGAGAAATTGTACTCCTCAATGTATGATGCAAAAGGAGTCCAGAGCCATATTAGTAAAATCATGAGAAAATACCTGGGCGTGAAGAAGAGAAGCTTGTGTTTAGCCATATAGACAGCTAATTCTCGGAGCTTTAATGGCTATGCTTGGAGATTTTGTGATGAGTTAAGAAAAGAGGTGACTTAGGAAGAATAGTGTAGACAGCTATAAAATCCTGAACTGAGCGGAGAAAGTGAACAGAGAATTTAATTTCCCTGTGTCTTATTGTAGGAGAATAAGGAGCACAGTGTGATACAATGGAAATTGGGTCTAGACCAAACAGAGTGAACTCGTAGATTCATTGTTAGTAGGTGTCACAGGAGCCACAAGTATAAATAGGCCCAAAAGAGGGAGGACAAATTCATAAAAGGTAGGACCACTGATGTCTCTGAAACGTAGCAGTGCAGATGCAAAAACTAGCAGTGGAAGTACCAAATTCCAAAGATATGTGAGATGCTAGGAGAGTACAGTAAGGAAGAAATCCCTTTATACTTACCTTTTTCTCATATTCTTCCCTTAAGCACCCTCTTAAGGTACCCTCTTAGGTAGGAAGTAGATTATGGAGCTAGGTGGGACTATGAGCTATTCTTCTGAGAACTTGTACTTCGGCTGCAGTTTTGCAACGATGATGGTGTAGTCTAGTCACACCCAAGGTGGTCTGTTAGCAAAGAACTCAGCACCCCCAGTCTGGGCTTAGTTCTATGTCCTTGATCCCAGTACCTATCCTTTAGAAAGGATAAAATGGAGAGTTAGAGTAATGTTGCCACCTAGTGATATAACATACAAATGCCCTAGGTAAAATGTACTATTAGCTATAGCATGATAGTTTAGGGATGAAAGTTAGATGTCATTTGGTGGAAGAGGTGATATCTTTTATAAGAGCAGTGACTAGAGCTGGGAGGAATAGATGAGCTTTTGGGGGTACAAGACCGTAAAATTTACAGAAGAAAGGCAGGGGTGCCTGAAAGCTTGTTTGTTTTTCTCATCTCTGTCAGCCTAGTAAAAGATATTGCCTTTCCTTATAGCTCTTACTTCAGCTAATATAGGTACCATGAGGAGGTCAGTGAGAGAGATCCGGGCAATATTGCTATGTTACCATGACTGAGTCATGGGGGTACACCAGTGTTTGGAAGATATTAAAAATAGTCCTAGGGCTAGGAGAGCAGGAGGAGTTATGGAGTGAGAAGGCACCAAGCGAAGACTGGAAAAACAAGAGCAGTTCTTTTTTCACTTCAGACCTGCACAGTAGCTTCTCAAGCTGCAGGGAACTGAGATTGTGTTGATGAAAACTGGCCAGCGGCTATCTCCAAATGAACTCTAACTGCCCAGCGGAGTGTGGAGGGAGTCCCTATCTGACTTCTTAATCATCTATTTCTAATATTTCTAAAGCAAGTCCCATTCCTATTACCATGAAGCAGAAGACCCTTGTTTTCTTGTCCACAAATAAGCTAGATTTAAGAGGGAAAGGTATTTCTATTATTAAATTATGCAATGCATAATTATTGCATTGTGGAACTCAAATTATTGCATCCTTTGCAACGTATGGCTTTTGCAAAGCTTTCACTGCAAAGCTTTCAAGGTAAAACTCACCACTGCCATAGCTGGCAGAGTTCCTCTGAGTGCTGTGACAGACCTGTAGGAGAAATGCTTTTCAAGCTCCAAGAGGCCTTTTTGTCTCCCACTGTTGAGATATTTTTAGATGTTAGCACAAAAGTGGAAGAAGGACTGTGGAAATGAGAAAAGCAAGGAGAGGGAGGTGAATCTCACTCGAAATATTATGTGGTAAGGGAAAACTTACCAGGTACATTTAAGATCTCTTTTTTTTAGGGCTCTACCCTGCACGCTGTCCCAAAGCATGCTCTTGGCCACTTGGAGAAGTAGCCACTTGGCTCTTGGCTGTTCAGGAACAACCTCCAACCCTTTTGCCTGTGTAAATGGTTGTATACGTTATACTTTGAAGACCAAACCCTCACTTTATGTGAAATGGCCTAGTTTTACCCTCTGATATCAGACAACTGCTTGTAGGACAGGAATATGCAGGCTATAAAATCTTAGTTTGCTATATACTGACATAGATATATGTGGCAATGAATTATAGTAGCTAAAGGCTTGGCACAGTGGTTAAAACCATTTAGATTTTTCTCTGAAGAGAAACATGTGAAAGAACTTACTACAGTTTTTGGTGAGTTTTTTTCTGAAGTTTTCCTAGACTTCTTGCAAGAGCTAGAAGGTTTTTTTTTTTTTTAAGTCTAAAGAAAAAGCAAAGAGATGTTTTCTGTTAAAATGTTTCAAAAGTGGTCTCTCTTCTTTGCTGTTACAAAGGCCTGTGGAGCAATGTCTTCTCCTATAACCTGTTGGATGCCTGGCATTCGTCAGATCTCTCAGAAAGATTCTCACTGAGGTGCACCCAACCCAGAACTGTTGATGTTGGTTGGTTATATTTCTATTTCTATTTTATCTATGTTGGCTAGTTATATTTCTGTTTCTATTTTACCTATTGTCTCACGAATCTTTAAATTAATGTTATGTTCAGACACAAGTCGTGTGAAATCTTTATGAAGGCTTAAAGCTGGGGCCAATACTGCACTGCTCCTTTTCTACCCTTAGCCATCGCATTGCTAGTGATATGTAATTGGCTTTCTGCTCTCCTGTCTGAACTCAATAATATTATTTTCCATTCATCTCCACTGGATGAATTTTTGCTGGTGATGATTTGCCTCCAAAACTGTTGTAGTTTTTAAACCAGATTATCTTTGCCAGGGTCCTTTTGGTGAACCTACATGTGGTAGCAAACATCTCAGTGCTGCGTTCTGTGTCTGCAGATTACATTTTTTGAGTATTATTGTTAGAGTTGGATATATCAATTATGTGGAACTTTGTTTCTATATATATATTTTTTTCATTTGGCTGTATACCTTTATGTTCCTTGGAGGTGTTGTGTTCAAATGTGAATAACAAGTTTGACTTACGCGCTCTTCTTCACTTCCTCCAGAGAGATGTTGCAGAACAGTGAGCCCAATAAATGCCTTTGATAAAAGGTCTTAGGCCCTCATTCCTAACCTGATGAATTGTCATTTAGCACAATTCTTTTTCTCTGCTCCTTTTCCAGGTATCTAAATCTCCTGACAGCATTTTTGTCAAAGACAGTTTGAACTAATCTTGGAAGAAACAGGTCCAGATTCTCAGCCTCCACTGATCCATGCAAAGAGAATCCAACTATGACTTCTATCAAACAATAGATCACTTTTTCCAGCTTTAAAAAATTTGTTTCCACTCTCATTTCATTTTCTAGGGAATATTTACCGAATGTTGATTTTTCTTCTTGCTCCTACTTTGAGACTGATTTGATTGTATGTTGCCACGTTTTGTTAGGTTCTTCTTTCCTTTAGCTAATGTTAGATACCTTTAGTATTGCAATTACTACAAAGAACTGCATCAAGACAATAATGTGTTTGTGTCCTCTGCCAATCAGCAGTACAAGAGCCTTTCCTACCAGCAAGGAACCGTGAGTTGGAGACTTACTTAGTGACCCCTGAATGTGGCATCATGAGTATTGTTCGGCAGGTCTTGACAGAGCGGGTGATGGTTTCAAAGTTCTGCAACTTCCTAAAGGGATTCCAGATGCACAATGAATACCTACAGAGCAAAAGCTTTTGTATATGGAAAGGTAAAAAAAAAAAAAAGCTGAATTTTAATTTTAGTTAGATGGTTTGGCATTTTCATTAGTGAAAAGAAGGTAGAAGATGGACAGGCTTTATCCTTCACTTCGGGGGGGGGGGGAAATCTGAGTAACTGATTAAACATCATCTAGTCAACTAAGCTGGACAGAGCTGAACATCTTTAACAGAAGTGACTTTTTAGATCTCAGTCACTTTTTCACTTGGCCTTAAGTGAATTTGCAGAAGAACTCAAATTCTGGCACAGCTCTATTTTACTGAAATTAGAATATAAAAGGATACTCCAAGAAGTCCTTTTGTTCTAGAGAAGCATAACTATTGCTAGTCAAGGATGGGGGAAGAGCTGCATGAAAAGGGAAGGAGCTCACCTTTTTACCTTGGCCAAGATCTCTTTTTTTTTTTTCTGAGTCAAGGTTGAGCTTCAATAGTGCAGCAGGGTCTTGGAAAAACAAAAGCAATGGGGAGACAAGTGATGTTTTATTCCTCTTTTGCTAGCCAGCTAGCAGATCTATTACTTCTTCAGTATCACTTATCATAAGAAATATTTCATTGTAGATACCGTGCTAGACAATTTTCCCAACCAGCTGACACAAACAGCAGAGTTCCTGTGCTTAGCAGACACAGCTGGATACATCGATATCAGCTACCCACCACTCATGAGGCCAGAGAGGAAAGTGGATGTTGTCCTACACTTAAACTATTCTTCTGGATCACAGACGTCGGTGCGAGGATTACTCTGTTTTTTTCAGTAATAACCACTGTCTCTTTAATTCCTAAGGAACCACAATAGTTTACATAGAAGAAACTTACTATAGGAGAAAAAAATTCTTAGCTGACAGTTCCAGTTTCTAGATGTCTAGATCTCATGGTGATGCTGATATACCACGGCAAATTCCCTAAAGAGAACAAAAATAGTATCAGTTTTCTAAAGTTTTTGTTTTTATTTAAAGCTATGATAGATAATTTGCTATCTCCTAGACCCATCTGCTACTGGGACCTCAATATGACTAGCTACATCCTCTCTAGTGAGTGTTTTCCTGGAACCAGTACCACCACTTATGAACTCGTTCTGTTTCTAGCTTGTGACATCTGTCTAAAGATAGACATATGCAGCTGGATTAGAAGTACCTTTGTCCACTTGTCTGTAGTAAAGGAATTTGCTATTTTTTTCAAAGTCAATGAGAAGGATATCCTTTGATGTCATATTTGCTGTTTCAAATACCCGCTAACAACTTGGCCTAGAATTCCTATTACTAGATAGGGAGGGATAAGACAGAGCTGCCTGAAGGCTAGAGATGAGTTTTTACAGCTGCCGACCAGACTCAGCAGTAAACGTCCTGTTTTCCAAAGCGAGTGACACATCTGTAAAATTAAATTAACATTTCAGTCAAGAAGACATTTGTGTCCAGATACCTACATCACTTTTCACAGCAGACTTTAGGCACCTAACACAGTCAGGGGCTTTTGAATATTTCCTGCCAAGTTAACAAGATGTTTGTACCTTTGTGACTCTGCATTTAAAAATGTACCATTCCAGATTCCTGGTCTTTCTGCTGATTTTAGGATTTTCTCCAGCAGTGGGCATGTTTCTGAGCTCTAACCAGCTGGGCCAACCCCTGCCTGCAGCTATGAACATTTTATTTATCTTGCAGATAAATGCTGAGGAGGAGGTAGGACAACAAGCAGGAGTTCGAGTTATAGGCTGGGTCTAGAATGTTATTCTGTTAATAACTAATAGTTAATTTCTTGCAAAAGAAAAGACAAGACCAGAAGAAAGAAACACTGATAGTGAGCACGGGTGTCTGACCTTTGTGAGGCAGCCTTTGATGGATGTGCTGAGCACTGAAGGAAGTTGGGAGACCAGCATTTCTGACTTTTTTCTTCATGTCTAAACGCAGCCTTTGGAAGAAGCCTCTAAGTACTTCTTAAAACAGGGAATCCCGTTTCCCAAAATTCACCTGAGTGAAGAAGAAAAGAAGAATCTAAAGGAGTGTTATATCTTTGAAGACAAAGAGACCCCCGAGGCCCCTATAGTGATATTTTTCCCGCTGGTGAACGACTCGTTCAGGAAGTACAAAGAGCCAGGTAAGCCGTGGGAGCAGCTGGGTCCGCGCGCTGCCGGCGGCGGGCACTGGGCCCTGCCGGAGGCTGTCGGGTCCAGCCAGAGGCCACGGCTCCTCTGTGCCAGCCTGGAGTGGAAATACTTGAAGCTTGCTCGAAAGACGAGTGGGAGCAAAATCTCTCAGCACAACTGCTGGAGAGAAGCCTCCCTTTTTGCTAAAACGGACCATGACTTAAACGATCCCGGGACCACAGAAGTGTCCTGTTAATGGTCTTTATTTATTTGGCAGGAGTGGAACGCAGCCTGGCTGAGATGGCACAGGGTGACGTGGACGTTTCCAGTCTTTGTTCCCCTTACTGTATAAACAGCTTTACCTACACGGAGGAGGAATTTGACAAGCTGGTAAAACTGACCAGCTACAACATTCAGAACAACAAACATTTGATTCTTCAGGCTTTGAGTTCAGCTATAGAACAGAAAAAACAACAGACAAAATAAATGCCAAGTTTCAGAAATATATTTGTATCATTCATTTTCCATGCAAAAGAATCAAAAACCTGCTTGTGAATGAATAGTGCAGACTTGGGAAAGTACTAAGATTTTTCTTAGCTTGTGCTTCCTCTCCACCAAGTGGCAAGCCAAGATAAACCAAATAAATAAAATAATGATTAGCCTCATAGGTGCTTATTTAATTTGATTTTCACTGTTGAACCTTTTTTATGTCTGTGTGTATACATATATGTATGTGTAAATATATACAGATGAAGAGCTGCTAGGAAATATGGGGCGTACTGACAAGTATTTTAAATGCATGAATGGAGGACAGCAATGCAAATTCTTTTAAAATGTACTGCACTGGTAAAATTCACATGTAAAGCGCAGATAAATAAGCTACAGATATTTTATTTATTCTAAACTTAGCACAAACAGAAAAATACATAATACGTCTGGACAGTTTTAAAGAAACAGAGAAAAGTATATTTTATTATACTGTCAGCATGAAATTTAGTTGCAGATAACATGCAAAACTACACATAAAAGTTATAGAAAAGAGAGTATACATGGAAAGTGTATGTTTTTCTATACTTTTGAATTTACAAATTCTATTCTGATTTGGAAAACCCCCTGGAAGTGACATGTGTTGTGAGTCAAGATCAGCTCTTGTGGTGCATGTGTAAGTACCTAACTTGGGGTTATGCTTTTCAGTAAGGACCCATGGCATTTCGTGAATCCAGCTCAGCATCTACTCGTTAATTTCAAGAAGTTTAGTAGTAGTTCCTGTTATTATAACGTAGGGATGCTATGAGCATTAAAACCTCAAAAAATGGAAGACATTCAGATTTTGTGGCAATAGGGCAAGCTAAGTGTTCTATATTGATATTCATAATTTACATTGATGTGTAATTATATAACTTTTTCAGTTCCTAAATGTATACAAGCAACACAGCTCTTTTCATTGAGCTCATTTTTGAGCTGAAGACTAAAATAATTATTTGCTTTATTATGGATTTTAATAATGCAAATACTCTGTAAAACTATTTCATTATAACAGAGATGTTGATCTAAAAAAGGATAAAATGTTTCAGTCAGTATCATCTGTCCTTAATTGCTTCAAATTTGAATGAAACTCAGTCACTTGTTTATGTTGAAGTAACATGTATTAGCACACACACAGCTATAACTGGTACATTATGAATTATGCCAACATAGTGAAAATAGAAAATAAATCCTTAAACAAAATCCAAAATGAAATGTGAAATTCTAAAGGGTTGAAAATTTCTCTTCTCTCTTGCTATCACCTCCTGTCTCCCTCTTTTCCTTCTAGCATTCCTCCATGACTTTAAGCTCTCATCTTCTTCAGTCTCCGACACTCACCTTCAATGACTTCACCTTCCTTAGCGATGATGTGTCCTTCCCCCAGCAGTCTTTTCCAGGCTTTCACACCTCCATGCAATTTGCAGCCCTGGTTTAAACCTCCAGTGCACTAAAAAGGCTGTTTTCTTAATTGTGTTCATCAAGCACTCCTCTCCTTGTGATCTCTGCTGCTGAATCACATAGTGCCTTTCAGCATTGCCTCTCCTCTGGTCCAGGCTCACACATAAATATGAGGAGCCATTCCAGCCCTGAACTCCCTCTCAGGCTTCCCAGCTAATTATTATGGCAAATCCATTTTGTGTGACACATGCATTTGCTACTTTTCCCATCTGCTCATCTTCCAGTTGCAGTTTCAGGCATCTTCAAGAGCTGCAAATGGAGTTCCTTTCTGTGCCTTCCAAGGCCTTTAGTGATGCCAAGTTTCAAGAGGTCTACTCCTCTTTTTCCATTCCTGCCCTTAACTAATCCCCCCCTATTTCCCTTGCTGGTTATTTTATTTTATTTTATTTTATTTTATTTATTTTTAAATTTTTTAATTCTTGCTGAGTATGCCATTATCGTGTCCTCTGCTTCGTTGTACCAGTCCGCCAGGTGCCATTCCTGCCTCAAGGCAATCTGGTCAGATCCACAAGCTAGCTTCTAGAGGTGTTTCTGGTATGGCTGAAGCTCTTGGACAAGAACTAGATCGTCCTGTCAATCCTCTGCTTGTAATCCTCAAACATCCCATGACTTTCTTCTTGCAGATGTATGTCTGCAACCTGCTCCCTAACCTGACCAGCAGCCAGCTAAGTCATACAATGAGGTCCTCAGTGTGACACTAGAAAATACCTGTTTGTCTAACATTGCTGTTGACCCTGAGCAAGGTCTGTCTTGATCCTCAATCTAGCAGTCTACCTCCTTGGGCACTGGGGGCCTTCACCCAGAGATCCCATAGGCAATGATCCCGAACCAAGGGGAGGACACGGGCCCCATCTTGCCATATGCAGTAAAGCCCCATTGCACTGTCCCAGTGCCCCCAGCTCCTGTGTGTGCTATGTGCTGTCACCCTTCAGCATGCTCTAGCTTGTATGCCACATCCTGGCAGACAAAGGCATGCTGACTCTGCAACCAGTATGCAAAAAGAGGTGACAAGACAGCCTCACTTAGCAGCCTGTCACCTCTAGGCTTTCCTTCTCGGTGGGGAGAGGGGTAGAATGGACATGTAGAGAAATTTGTTGCTTTATCTCTGAGATATTGTAGAGGTTGCTCTTGGTGACAGTTTCTCAGTGATGGCTTGTTCTTCTGAATTCCATCTAGTCAGCACTCCTGCTCCACATTTAGCAGAGGTGTTTAGTTTACGACTTAGGGGCTTGATTAGTTCATTGGCCTCAGCTTGCTTTTTATCTTTAAACTTATTAATTAATGATGCAGACCACTTACAGATTATCCCGGTCTTCAGTTCTGCTTGCAAGCTAGTGTGGAAGCTTTGTTTGGTGTTGTCTTCTGGTGTTTTTTTTTTTCTTTTTGTTCTGGTTCAGCTGCTAATTGTCTATGCTCAGCCTCTGGGCTGTACTGAGGCATTGAAGGAATGTGGGTGACAGCCACAGATGTAAATTTTTAAAAGCCCTTTTGTTTTTGCAGATTGGGAGTGTCCCTTTTTACAGGAAATAGGAGTAATTTCAAGGAATAATCCCCTGAAGGCAGGAATCAAACAAGAGTAGAAGCAGTACTGTAAAAATCCAGGCCCATACTGTATTACAAATATTAGCCTCAATAGGGCGTAACATGATTTTTCTTAACTATTTTAAAAGGTAAAACTCTTGGTAGCTGTGCTGATAGGAACTATAAACATTAACTTAGTGGCCTCCTTAATTCTAATGAGTATGTTTTGCATTTTTGTCTGTGTCCGGCTTTTGTTCTTACCTATTCATTATCTGTAGGTAAGTAAAGGGATTACCATGCAATTGCATCTTTGCCCCAGTCCTTCTGATTGTCGCAAAGATACATCAAGAACTGGGCAGCTCAGTGTGGTGAGTCAGCCTATAAGGACCTAAGAAAAGCACAGTGGGAATTTTGAACCCACTTGTGAGGCATGAGGGTACTCAGAGAGTTGTGTCAAGTGAGTGCTGCTGATGAAACAGGAACCAACGGCATTCGCAGGGTACTTTAGCCACGGTGTTATTTTTTTCTGCTGTGGTTGGCAGCACCATTTTATACTATTTCAGCTCTTCTGTAGACCAAAAAGTGATCGAACAAAAAATTATTACAGTCTGAGTGAAGTGAGCTATTCATTTCTGAGACTACCGGTTGTTCCGTGTGAACAACAGGAAATGTGTCTGCCACAGAGAATGTGAGAAAATGCAGATGATGATAGAGCAGGATTCCCTTTTGAGAAACCCTATACCAAAACTCATTCCAATTTAAAGTTTAGGTGTGTATGTACAATATCCCATCATCCTATTAAAGTGATAAGCCTCAGAGGGGCCAGCAGGGCCTCGTTTCTAGCAGGATTAGTTTCCTCATGCGCTGGTCTTAGCATGCTGGTCAATAGGTAGCAATGGGTGACATATGTATGTCTTTTATGCCATTGAACATTTGTGTCTTTAAGCTCCTCCTGAATGTCATTCTCTTGCAGGGTTCCTACCAAAACACAGCACACTCTGCAAATTCATAAAGCACCTCCCAAAACCTCTCCCACCCCTCCAGCTCTTCATATCAGATATTCCTGGGGTATCTACTTATGTCTCTGATTCCTTTCTCCTTGGTTCCTTTTTTCTCTCTTTGATTGCTTATTTTAGTCCAATCACCTTTTCTCCACACAGTTGGGTGTCTCACCTGGACATTTTTGACACAACGCTAGCTACTCTAATGGATGTAGCTTTTCATGCTGATTCCAAATATGACCAAACTCATTACTCAAACTTGAAGCTTCTGGAGGTACTATTGCAGTGTGGAAGTGACATGAGAGAAAAAGGGGAAAGATAAAGAAAATAGATGGGCTAAAAAGCAAGGGAGAGACAACTGGAAGAAAGAAAAATTTTTGTATAACCTCTGAAAGAAAGTGAAAAGGGAATTACAGCTATGTGGTATTGAGATGGACAAAGGAAGAGAATGGGTATTTTAGGAATTCAGGAAGTTAATAAGAAAGGAAATCTGGAAAGAAATGCAAAGAAAAGAATGAAGAGGAAATTAGGAACAAAAAGAGGATGGAGACAAATATTTGAAATGAGATAAAGGTGTCTCCCTCCTTTGCTTTCTTCAAAGCAGTCCTGGTAAGCTGTTCCTTTAAAAAGAAGAACAAGCAAAACCCCTAATCCAGAAAACTTGATGGTATTAAATCCTACTACTGAGATTCTGATTGTAAGTCTCTCACTTTGTGCCACACAGGTTCCTAATATACATATTCTGAGTGCTTTCCAACTCCCAGCTTTCTCCTTTTTTTACTAAGTTTCCCAGGTTAACTTTCTGATGACTGGTCCTATGCGCTGGGAAAAGAGGGTCACCTACACTGTCAAAGTAGCAGCTCTACTGCCAGCTGCTGCTTATTGCATCTTCCTGTCTTTCAGCTAATAATCTGTAAATTAGCTGTTAATGAAATGATTGCTTCCTTCCTATTTCCTTTCTTCTAAGTGAGGTAATAGAGGATCTTTAGAGGCTGATAGCTATCAGGTAAACAGCAGCATGTTTTTACATATAGTAGTGTATACTTTTAAATCTTAAGCAATTAATAGTTTCTTTACTTTTGCAATTTCTGCTGCTGCTCAGCTGGCTAACAACTAGAATTACTGCAACCAATCTTGAAACCAAGCCATGTTCCAAACTCTGTATTTGTTTTGGTTTATTATCTACTTTGAAAGTGTACGATGCAGTTTATTTTTGAGAGTTAACAGAGGAAGTGACACCTCATATAGACCAGGCTCTGTGGGAGAAGGTATGGGTGAAAATGGCATGAAAATTTCTTAGGATTCCTTACAGGCTAATGTCTTTTGGTTACATACGTGCAAAAGTCTTCAAAAAAATCCTTATCAGAACCTTAATATGAATATTTGTTCTGGTTACTCTTAAATTCTGATCCATTGTGACTACGACTACTGATACCTGAGTTGGTGGCATGTAATCCGCAGTCGGTTTGGGGAAATCAGAGGAAGCACCACATCACACAGACTGCCTTTGTCATCATTAATGATGTCAGTCTCTTTACCGGGAAAGTGATGCATCTCAGTATCAGAACTGCGTACCAGTTATATGCCTAATGCGTATGCATATATGTAATGCATACAAAGTTCCACACTTTTCTCAATATGATCATCATATCCTCACAGGAATATATTATAGTATTTTTTTTAAGTCTTTGGTGAAAGGCTGATTTTAAAGTTTATTTCCCAGAAAAGTCCTGCTTGCCTTTAACAAGGGTAAAGACAACAGACAGCATCAGTGCCCCTGTCTCCTCTCCTACTCCCATTTCCTTCTTTGCTAATGGACTGATGGACATGTGGGAAAAAGCCAGAGTGCTCACCTGACCCTGCTCTCCAAATTCATATTTTTCAGAGGTATCTAAATACCACCTCTGCACAGTGAGGTGCTCACAGTCAATCCGAGCTATGTATCTAGTTTACCAGAATAACCCCAGGCTCATTTCTCCTGGTCTATTCAAAGGCTAAGCAAGCAAGGCATTTAAGAGGGATACAGGCTATCAGCAGCTCTGGTCAAGCCCAAGAAGGTCCGAAAACAAATCAAAGACGCGTTTGAACTTATTAATTAAAACCATAAAAAGCTGCTCATGGACTTCCACTTCTCCACAGCGTAGCTGTGCAGTCAGAAGTAATATAGAGACCTCTGCCAAGTGATTAACTCTTTTCTGAGCTATGTACTATGTGTGATTAAGAAACCTAAGTTTTAGAGAGACTGCAAGCACTAAAGAAATGAAGTAGTGTGCTGTTTGCCGCCAGGGCAGCAGTAAAGGAAATAGTCATCTGTAAGGGAAATAGGTTGTTCTGCTTTATCTACCTTTAAATTACTTAAATATGAAATGTAAAGAAAGAAAATAATACCACTTGGAGACTCTGCTTTTTTTTCTACAGATTGAGACCCTCCAGCTTTGTACCCTCAGATTTTAAA